TACACATTACTCAATCAATTAAGAGTTTATTTAAATATAAATTAAAAATATTTTTGAGAATTTCTTTACTGAAAATAAAAAACATTTTTAATAAAAAAACTGTCAAAAATATTTCTAAATTCATATTCAAACTGACTCTAAATTAGACCCTTATTTAGCATTTTTATTTTTGACCAAGATCTGGTGCGTGGTCACATGAGAATTGGAGAATATCAAATTATGAATATACAAGTACACGGTAAAGTAGTCTTGATCTTGGACCAAGAATAATGAGAAGTAGGGCCCCATAAGTTTGATTCCAAATTGAAACCACATCATGGAAAAGTCACTTGTCCTACAACTCCCCATGCCATGTGGAAAGTGAAAGGCAACATTTATAATTACTACGATGATGACTACTTGGTGAGTCATCCAAGTTTGAACGTAAATTAAACTGAACTCACAGTAAAATTTGGATTATAAGGGACCCAAAACTTGATTGCAAATTCAGAACCAACTTAGAGATACTTAACATTTTCTGTTGGTTGTGGTTTGTCCAAATTGCAAAGTGGTGGACAATAATGATAGTTTCTATTATGATTTATGAAGGCAACAAGAAGAATCCAACTCACTTTTCAGCAAAAGTAGAATTAATTTTTTCCCTATTTTCCCTGATTTATTTCTTCCATTCATCTTAGGGACTAATTGGATTTTTCCCCTTCTTTGACCAAGTTAATTAAATGGGTTTGTTGTTTCATACCAATGGCCACAATGAAAAGTTCATAAAACAAGCTGTGAATTGTGATCACCTACAGTGTTGTAATAGGCAATGCTGATGGCATCTACAAATAACAAGTGGCAACAGTAATAAATAAAACAGCAAGGAAAGATTCCAAAAGGGGACTTAAAAGAAAACAATTTTTTTTTCTTGCTTGAAGAAGAGGCAAACCAAAAGCCTGAATGGATTGTCTAGCAGCTATGATTGTGTGCATATCTGAGAAGGAGATCACTGCCATATTTTGCAAAATTCATCAAAGGTGTTAGGGAAAGTTTTGGTTATCTGTAAAGCCAGCTAGAGAAAGAGAAGTGACTCTTGGGTATATTCAAGTTATTGTATTGACTGCTACTTTTTGTGACTACATAAAATATAGAGCTTCACTTCTTGGTGATGACTAATCACTCTTTCAAAAGAAAAGTTGAATTGGCCCCTAGAAATTATGAAAATAAGACACATGATAGGGATTAATGAACAACTAGGATAAACAACACAGTATAGCTCATACATGGCTAAGATTATTTTTAGCTCTGAAATCAAAATCATGGTATTTTGAAACTTTACGGTATATAAAAAGAATAAAACAAAGTGTGCTGGCATGGCTGGTGGGAATAATGCTCATACATATCAAATTATTTTTTATGAAATTTTATATTATAAAAATATTGAATGATTTTTTATTTTTAATACGTTTAATTTTTTTTATATATAAATAACTAAATAATCATATATTGTTTTATATCTTATATCAAAATTTTAACTTTTTTTCGTTTTAAAAATAGTATAATATAAGGTTGGATTAGTTGTTACTTCTTAATCATTTCACATGACTTAGGTATATATTGATACCGTCTTCATCTTATAATAAGTGTTGTCCTATGTGATTTTATATAGATTAAGAAATTTTGTGATTAGTCTTTTTTATTGTAAACAATATAATACAATAATCTCTTCCTAAAGAAAATTATGAAGGGTATAAATAAAAAGTGATAATTAGCAACAGTAAAAACCTAAAATAACACTTATTTTAAGACATTTTTTTTAAACACGATATTAATTATGAGATAGAAGGAGTATTATATATACTATAAAAAATACTTTAAAAATTACTATATTAACAGTCTTTACAAAATAAGAAAAAATAAAAATAAAAAGTAAAGAAACCTAATTTTAAATATGAAAAATGAGTATTATATATATATATATATATATATATATCACTTTGATTAGCCAAATCGAACATGGTCTTGAGAAGATCTGGTTCCAACAACCATTATCTCTATTGATGAGATCATCCCTTTGAAGTGAGCAATCTCTTGATTGCTTGAGCTTGGATGCTTCCCTCTAAGGCTTTGGCCTTCAATCCGAAAGTTCTCCATCTCCTAAAGTGATTATCCATACGGTGTTATCTCCATTGAAGTTGATCTGTGCCTAGAAGGAACTTAGGAAGAGATCAACTTCCATTTCTTCTACTTCTTTCTATCAATACTATATTGAAAAAATGATATGACATTTATTTTAGGACTTATTTTTTCTTCAAATACAACAATTATTATGAGACAAAGAAATTATTATATATATTATAAAAAATACTTCAAAAAGTTAATATATTAACTTTGACTATTTTTACAAAATAAAAATACATAAAAGAAATGAAACACTTAATTTTTAACATGACAAGTATGAACACATTATTATAAATTTATAATATATATATATATATATAAATTAAATATCAAAAAGTTAGTGGGGGGATTTGCCCCCACTATGTTGAAGCTGAATGGTGAGACAGAGCGAAATTAGTGGAGAGTGGGAATTCATAATAATATATCATTGATGTTAAACTGTTTTAACAAATCCTCTTTAACATATTTCTAATTATTCCAAACAGGAAGTGCAAACGTGTTTAATATCTTGGAAGCCAAAACATGTGTTAAATAATTCTGTATTGAAGTACTTAAGAGGGTTATTTAACTGATTCATTAAGAATATATAAAATTATTGTTGAAAACAAAGTGGGGTTTGGGTCTAGTAAGTGGATCCATTGATGCAATAAAACTATAAAAGCCTCCTACTATCAAAAGTCAAGCCTGAATTAAAAAGGAGAGAGTGGGTGCCCATGTTTAAAGTTTATATTGACACTTTGACATTCGTATCCTTTCATGGTACAGATTTTCAATTTGATATATCTTCTATAGACACTATTTAATTTCATTCTATATTTCCTAAAATCCTTTGTGAGCTAATATAATATGTAATGTTTGTATCAAGTAAAAAATAAAAAAGCTGAAATTTGGCGAAGTCAAGATAGAAGTCCCAAATGCAATATGAACATATTATATGTACAGCTTAAATAGTAGAACAACAGAATGAGGTTATCAAATTAGGTTAGGAGTCTCAAAACTTCATTCCCATGTAAACTAGTAGAAGAAAAAGGTTAAAAAATACAGTTAGGTTAGGTCTGTCCTGGTTAGTGTTAGATTAAGATTCAAGAAAAAGTTAGGTAATTAGGTTAATGTTTAGATTCAATAAATCAAGTATATGTTTTCTAATCCATTTAATTATTTTAATGAGCACAGTAGTTTTTTCTTTCATGAGTTTCTATATTGCAACTTTTGATGGTTTTTTAAATAAAAAAGTAAGAAGCAAATGGATAATGAGAAGATGATGTGGTGATAACACTTTCTTAGTTCTCAATCAACAACTATTTAAAACAATGGTCAGAGGCTAACTTCTCCACTGGTTTTCTGTAGAGCCCTTTGGATATCCTCCAAACCAATATATCAAATACTGAATCTGGTGAGCATGGAGCTTTGTTGGCAAACATCCATCCATGGTTCTTAAAGAAGCATGAAGAGAAAGAGTG